TTTTTTTTTAGACTTGTGGTATAACTACATTTTTAGAATGTTCCAAAATTTTCATTGGGGTAATTTTATGATGTTTCAGACTTTAAAAAACTACCAGGTATGACATTATATTGCATGTATATGCATGTTTTGTTTTCATTTTGCTTCTTTCTTTTTGCTTCTTATTGACTGTTGCCTCTTTGCATCTTGTCACGTTTTAAAAGTCTGTTTAGTATATAATTATTAGAATCAAAAACAACTTTCCATAATCAAGGTGCGTATAGCTATAGATAATTGGTCAGTGGGCAAAAGTTGCCGGTAGAAAGTCTTTATGTTTTATATCTATCTATTTCTAATATGTTGATTCATTCGATTCATTTTTAATATAGTTAACACTTAGTTTTTGAGAAATCTAGTAAATGTGTCACGATATGGTGGAATCAGGCGGTCGTACATTTTTTGGACATTTGGAGTTAATGATATCATCTAAAAGCTTATTTATTTGCTTTGCTTTCAATGAAAAATTACCTATCTATCGTGAATAGAAGTCAAGATATTTGCGATTGAAGGAGGTGGGGTCGCCCTTCAGTGCTATAATTCGCAAGAAAATTGCTGTCATAGTTTGGTAACTTCAATAGCTTGAGAGTCCTTTACAATGGAAAAACGATATTTTGTGGCTTTAGTCAACGTTTTTCAGTAAAATCCACATGGAAATATACTTTTATGTAGAGATACAAGGTGTTGAGTCTCAAAAACAAATATTTGATGAAAACTGGCAGAAAAATGCCTGTTTCTTTGATTTCATGATTGTGACAAGCGCCTGATTTCACCACGCTGCCTCACAAATGTCGTTTATGAATATTTTTTAGTTCTTATTTCAATAAAAATTGTTTCCGCCTTTTGATTTTCCATTTTCGAAAAGAATTTGGGATGCCCCTTTTGTTAAATTTGAAAAACGTATTGAGGTTCCGGTACAGAGTACATTAACAGTTTACTTTCAAGCTGTCGAATGTAAGGGCAATGTTTCTGTTTAGGCTACATCTTTCTGGGTCTCCCTCTATGTCTGTCTCAGTGATAGCCTTAAGTTTCATCCGGGCATCCACAGAGAATTTTTAATATAGTATAGTTAATCCCTTTATGGCCTATATGACGTACGCCATTTTTCATTTTCCCTTATTTGTCATGCCTTGTGAAGCGTGAGGACCATGATGACGAAAACGTTCCTCATAGGTTGTATTCTGCATACCGGTTCTATTAGATGCATTTAGTAAAACTAATTGCAGATTCACTTTCCGTTATATTTTTTCCGTTCATAAAATTCTTTTCCTTTTAAAGATAGTTTAGTTAGTAGTGGTTACAAACAATGTCTAATTATAGGCAACATTCCTCTAAATCTAGCCCAGCTACCCTTTGTCACTGGGGATTCAAAACAGTAACTGTGCCCGATGAAGCACGAACTGACCCTGTGTCTAGAAGGGGTTAACCAGTAGAACAAGAAAGAACAGAGTTGTCTAACATTGATGTTATTTTTTTGTTGTTGAGCACCGTTTCTTTTTTCTTACATTGGTTTAACTCCAACAATGTGCTCAGTAAATTTATTATCCTTTGCAAATCTACATGTTTTGCTTCTTATTGGCTTTTATGTCTCATCGGAGGTATATTTACCACCTCAGTCTCATCCCGTGACATGGAATAGTTGCAGATAGGAGATAAAAAAAAATTATTTCTGATATGCATTGTTCTCTTTCTCTCTCTCTCTCTCTCTCTCTCTCTCTCTCGCCCTTTTAACTCCCAGTGGAGCATAGACCATCAACAGCATTTCTACAGCTGAAGCCTGTCCTGTGCATCCTTTTCTAGCTGTTTCTATGATGTCCCTGTCTTTTCCATTTCCGCATGTACCGCTCGCCTCCATGTCATCTTTGGTCTTCATTCTACACTCCATTTTCTCTCCTCTCTTCAGTGATGAAGGTCCTCCTCATGTTGTTTTTGCTGTTGATGTTTTTGTAGCTGTTTTTTGTTTTGTTTTACGGAAAGGGCTGCTAACTCTTTACCAGACAGACCTTTGTCGCCTTCTACGACATGCGCGGTACGGATACAGTGGTCCTATTCTTTGCTCCCCTGTCTCTTGGACAGGCCCCGGGAACTGCTCGGGTGTCCTTTGTGCTCACTGTGTGGATTTTTTTTGTTCAGAATCTTGCTTCTGTCTATGAACTTTGATTTTGTTTTTGTCCACTGTGGTAGGAGGGCTCAATGAGTTGGTCCTACTTTTTTTCTTTTTCTTTGTTGTTTTTGTCTGTCTGTCTTGCTGTTTCCCAGCTTTGAATAGCCATTATTTTTTTTATGTGCTTTTTTTAACACAATCAATCAATTTCTCCTTTTATGTTGTTCTATTGGTCTGCTCATGCCAAATGTTCTTGCTGCAGGATAGACTTGCTGTTTGCGCTCTATTTCTTGAATTTTATTTTAAAAGACAGTATATCCATTTTTGGACAATATTATTAAGTTATAAAATCTATTCCACCCGATAGTTTAAAGCTCTGCGCAGATTTCTGTCTTAGTCTGGTATTGATATCTTCATAAATAATGTGAGTAATATTTTTGGAAGATATTTAAAGCGACTGGCTGTTGAGAGGCAAAAATTGTTTTTTATTTTACAAAACTGGATGTACTATCTTTTGAAATAGAACTCCAGATCTGTATGGGATGATAGAGCGTAGTATAAATGCAATCTATCATTTTTACTATTAATATCATTATTGTTTTTATCCTTATTTTTCATTATTCCCCTGCTCACTGCTCTCTCTCCTCAGAACTTAACTATGTCAAGTAAAACAAAAATGAACAACATTAAAATCCATCCTTTGGAATATTTCTTTAACTCACAAGACGAATAGACTCATTGTCACGTGGACATCAGTGTACGTGTATAGCACTAACACCGGTGTCGGTGGTCTACCAGTAGTTGGGCTCTTCACTGTCACACGCAGGAGTCCCTACTTTGATTCTCAATTGGGAAGAATTTTTATTTCAAATATCTCTGTCTTTGTGCTTAGATGCTTTTTTCTTCTCAACCGGGATTGGCTCGCCCCCTAAAGGATCTAAATTGTGTCAATGGATGTTGGTATATTTGTATGTGTTACGACGCGGTGGAATCAGGCGCTCGTCAATTTTTGGGCATATGAAGTTATTAGTGTCATCTTAAAGCTTGTTCATTAGTCTTGCATTTGGCGAAAAAAAATGCCCATATATCTTGAATAGAAGTCAATAATATTATATTAAGACCAATATGATATTATTATATTTGCCATTGAAGGAGGTGGAGGTCAACTGGAGTCAGAGATAAAATTAGCGAGAAAATGACCGCCAGATTTCTATGACTTCCAAAGCTTGAGGGTCCATGGAAACTGAGAATTAACGTTTTCTGTGCCTTTGATCAACATGTTTCAGTAAAATTCACTCAGAAATGTGTTTTTAAATGGTGGATATAAAAGATACTGAGCCAAAAAGTAGACATTCAATAAAAATTGTCAAACCAGCAGGAAAATTCCAATATCTTAGATTTCATTATTTTGACAAGCTCCTCATTTCACCGCGCTGCTTCACATATTATTGTATTGTAAAATACCATGGGCTTATCTCTGCTGTCCTGCGGATGTTGGTATACATGTGTGTCAAATGTTGATGTGGCTTGTTGACTTTCCTTTCATTTCTGTTTTAACTCGCCTAAGTCAGTAAGTTTTTGTCATTGTTATTTTCACAAACTGATTGAATTCCTGTCAACATTTTTCTTCACTGTTGTCAGTTATTAATCTTGATTTTTGTGTAAACTAGAAAATAAAGCAAACATTCTGGCTTGATGCCTCTCCCAAACTTGGACCAGAACTGGACTTCATTAGCATGCTTATGCCTTTTGATGAATACGTTGTTAAAGAAATACTAGGGCTTCTCAGTTTGATATTTTTGTTTATTTTTGCCACATTTTGACTTGTATGACATTATTGCAGCACATTAATGGGTTTTTTTTTCCAGTTCTGCTGAAGTTTGACTTGTGCCTATATCACAGGCCAACTGTCCTAAATTTCCCGGGACTGTCCCGGATTCGGTGATCAGAAATTTGAGAAACTTTATCACGTACACTACACCAAAACCAGTCTCACCTTATGTAATTTTGTTCTGTATTATTTAAGCTGATGTTGGGTTTTGAAAAAGTTGGCAAGCGTGGTAATGTGAGACGTAATGCCAACTAGTACTTTTGTGCAAGGAAATGAACTAGAAAAGTAAAGTATTGTTTCTCTTTCCCTCAATGAAATGTGTCAGTTTTAATCTGATATTATTTCTGTTTACTCTCAATGAAATGTATCAGTTTAAATTGATACTCTTTCTGCTGAATTTCCTCAAAGAGGGGCTACTTTAAATTGGTACTGTATCTGTTTACGGTCAATGAATGAAATGTGTCAGTTTAAATGTTCCTCTGGGAATGATCTGTCTATAGTCGGCTTTCTGCGTCAGATCTTGACTTTGCAACATGATTTCCCTTTTACATTTTCTAGTTACATTATCAGTGACTCATTACACCAGTGTCTGGTGTAGTGATTAGACGATTTGTCGTTGCTCACAAAATATGTGAGTTCAGTCCCTGCTTGGGGAGGTTTTGTTTTTTAAAACTGAATAGCTCTGTCTGTCTGCCGGGATGCTGTTGTGAGCCTCTGAGCCCACGTTGGCCAGGATAGGAAGGAATGAAGTAACTTGCCTCTTAGAATAAATGGCTGGCTCAGTGTAAGACTATAGGTCACTTTTCAAAGTGGTGTTTGCAGGCAGAGTCTTATATTAAGCAGAGAAAATTACCTGAATAGTGTCATGTCAAGAAAGGGGGGGGGGGAGAGAGAGAGAGAGAGAGAGGGAGAGAGAGAGAGAGAATAACAGGGAGAGAGAAAAAGAGAGAAGAAAGGGGGGGGGGCGGGAGGGTGGTGTTGTAAAATGCAAACAATTGGATACTATCCATGACTTGTTGTTTCACTCTCTGACTGTTGATGTACTACTCTTTCTCTTTCTCCTACCCTCCGGGGCGGTGCTACTGACTAAAGTGAACATGTTCTTATGCACAGTAGAATTGTAAATGGGCTGGTTCATCAATGTCATGCTCATAACTGTGTCTGAACTGCAACAGGGAACTGCTGCTTTTTCTTTCCTAATCCTTACTATCGTCATCTTTCCTCTCCTTTTTTTGTATGTTTGTCTCTCTCTTGTGACCCTCTATTTCCAGGGTGCCTTGATAGTCGAAGTAGATTTTGTGCTGTTGAAGCTAGAGAGGTGAGCACAGTAAGCCTGATTCCCTGTAAAGACTTCTCTGTTGACATCCACCCCTTGGCGATCATATGACCTTATGCAGTTGTGAGCGCAGTAAACACTCTACTAAAACTAAAACTAAAACTTTTCTTTCTCCGTAGGTTCCAAGGCAGCCAAACATTTGTTTCGGCCCGAGGCCGTGTCTGAGAGTGTGGAGGACACAGACCCCGTGGTGGCCTTAGAGTGGGACCCTCTGTCCACGGACTACCTCCTGGTGTGTAACCACAGGGCTGGGGTTCGACTACTGGACGTGCCTACCCAGACCACCATCATGGACTTCCAGCTGCCCAGCGCCGCCTCGCGTGTTCAGACCATGTCCTGGGTCAAGAACGCTCCGGGAATGTTTCTGACTGGTGGTCAGTCTCTTTGTTAGAGTGTCTGTCAGTCAGTCTGTTTGTTTGTTACAATGTCTGTCAGTCAGTATGTTTATTAGAGCATCGGTCAGTCCGTTTGTTTGTTAGAATGTCAGTGGGTTAGTCTGTTTGTGTGGGTGGTTGGCAGGTGTTCTGGTGTGGTTTGCTCCTTCTTTCCTATCAAACATGTATCGTCCTTATCTCTCCTTCTTCTTTTTTATGTTTGATACTCTCTTGTAACTCCTCTAATCTTCTGGCACTCATATGATCTTATGTAGAACAGTTGCAAGTGCCATAAAACATTTACTTTAAAAAAAAAAGTCTGTTTGTAAGAGTATCGGTCAATTTGTTTGTCTGTTAGAATGTCTGTGGGTCAGTCTGTTTGTTTGTTAGAATATTTATCGGTCAGTTTGTTCGCTTGTTAGAAGGCCTGTTTGTCAGTCTTGTTTGTTTGGTAAAATTTTGGTCTGTCTGTTTGTTTGGTAGAATTTCAGTCAGTCTGTTTGGTAGAATGTTGGTCAGTCTCTTTGTGTGTTTGTTTTTGTTAGTCAGTGTGTTTCTTACTCGTGGTCAGCTTGCTTGTTTGTTTGTTTCCGTCAGTCTGTTTATTGTCAGTCAGCATGTTTGTCAGTGATGATCAGTCCATTTGTTTGTTTGTGTGTAGGCCAGATGAGGAATTCGCTTCCTCCAATGTGCTGTAATTGTTTAGGAAGCAGGACGTCTGATTTATTTCTGTCTTCAGCAGTTCAGAATCAGACAAATGCAGGGCTGTAAAAACTCCTTAACTAGGTGCTGATTTAGTTGCAGGTCTACAACCAGATCAGTTTGACAATTGGTTTAATTAAACGTCTTCTGCCATGTTTCTGGTATACAGGATTGAGACTGTCATTGGCCGAATTAGAAATTGTTTTGGTGGTTGTAGTTTGTCGGGCTCATCTTGGGTGCTCTGAGAACTGAACCGGGTTGTCTATGGCTGTCTTCAACACAACTATATGTGACTGATAGGCTCTGAACTGACAGTGCTCTTGATTAACGTATTTTTCTTCACATAGAATGAGATGCTGAAATAGAAAGGAAGGCTAAGGCAACGAAACTCCTAAGTGAATAGAACTGGTTTTCTTCATTGCACTCAGAAGTCGTGAGTTTAATTCCCATGTGAGGAGTGGATTTTTATTGAGTATTACCACCTTTCTGTTTGAATGTGATATCTCTCTCAACAGTTGGTCCCAATCAGCAGGGTTGAAGGAACCTACCTTCCTAAAGGATCTGAACTGTGTCAGAAGGGAGTAATGACAACTGGGCCTGCTCTAATGGCCACCTATAAAAGACAGTCACCTGTACATATCCTCCCTTGTGCTTTTTTTTAAAACGTCTAATTGACTCTATATAAGATGCTGACCTGTGTAAGACAGCCACTTTTGTCTTCGACTATGGGTGGCTGTCTTAGACAGTTTAAACTGTACATGAAATGATTTCCTCATCTGGCAGATTACAAAGGCGGAATTCTACGCGTGTGGAGCGTGTCAAACTCCACGCCCATTGAGAACATCAAGATCAAAGGCACGGGCTTCCACCGGCTAGAGGTTATCCACCCTCCCGCAAACAGCAACAGCAGCAACAACAACAGCAACAGCCACAGTTCCTCACAGGGCTCTCTGGATGACAAGGACAACCACCATGTGAGTTGAACCAGGATCTTAAACAATTTTTTTTAAAATGTAGGCGTTTTCCTGCCCATAATTTTACATCATTTAGGAGTCAGGCTTCTGACCCTGCCTGTCAGGGCCAACCCAAGCTGAGGGGGACAATAATAATAGATAATAGATAGCATTTGTATAGCGCAAATCCTCGCTCAATAGCAAGCTCGATGCTCTTCACAATCTATACTATTACCCCAGCAGACCTAAGAGCATTCTGAAAGAAACTCAACTTCCTGGGAAACATACAGTGCAAGCAGCCTATTATAGGAGCTAAAACACTAACATACTGACAAGATCTTTCGCTGTCAATGGCCGGGTACCCATTTCCACCTGGGTGAAGTGAGGAAAATTCGTGTTAAGTGCTTTTCCCAAGGACACAACATCGGGCGGGCGGCTCGAACCCCCGACCCCGCAACCTCACGACTACGAGTCCGGTAAGCCTAACCACTAGGCCACCGACGCCACTATCCAACATAGGGATACAACATTCCGGCAGAAAGACCGAGATACTCTATGAAAATTTTCCCCACTTTATTGATTTTGGATCTTCTGCATGGGACAGCGAAGTGCTTGATCACTACACCACAGACACTGGTTGAACGAGATCTGTCTTCAGTAAGCTTTATCAGCTCATATCAGCCGGAATTAATTTCATGGATTTTCCTGAACAGCCAGACTTAAGTCTGTGCTATCAATTAGAATTTGTGTAAGCTCGTTCGCCATGCCAAAAAATTAACCATCGGTAAAATCAGGGAAGTAGATAGAAGAGAGACTGCAAGGCAAATGAACAAGCTTTAAGATTACACCAATGACTCCATAAGCCTGAGAATCGACGAGTGCCTGATTCTATTGGGTCATCAAATATGTCTTGTGACTGTTTAAAAAAATTTTATGCCTTGCTTACATTTTGCATAATCTTGTCTGTTATAGAAAAATTAGGGTTTTGAGATAATGTTGGAGTTGGCCTATTAACGACATGGTCAAAAATTAGGTTTGATTAGATTTTTTTTGGAGTTGACCTGTTTGTGCTGGACGTGGTTGATTTGTTTTCTCCCAGGTTTCTTCTACGAGTGAGGCTCGATCCCCCGCCATGACCACGTTGTCACACTTTACACTACCACACTCGCACGTCGTCTGTGCCTTCAACGATGGGGGGATAGGGCTCTACGACCTGGGAAGGAAAAAGTGGGTCTTTCTCAGGGACCAGGTGAGATATCTACATAAGGGCATGCTGTTGCTGTAGTTAATGATTTTGTTGTTATTGTGGCTACGTTTGTTGTTGATTTTGTTGAAAAGTGGCTCTTTCTCAGAGACCAGGGGAGATATTCAAATAAGGGTGTGCTGTTGTTGTTGTTAAAGATTTTGTTGTTGATTGTGTTGCTGTTGTTGTGTCAAAATTTGTTGTTTTGTTGAAAAATGGTCTTTCTTAGAGACCGTGTGAGATACATACAAGGACACTGTTATTGCTGTTGATAATGACTTTTTGTTTTTGTGGTTAAAATTGTTGTTGTTGATTTTGTTGAAAAGAGACCTGGTAAGAGACCAACAAAGGTCTGTTATTATTGGAATTACATTTTTTGTTGTTCATTTTGTTCAAAAGTGGGTCTTTCTCAGAAACCAGGTGATTAGATACAAGGGTGTGTTGTTGATTTTGTTGCTGTTGTTTTTCATTTTATTAAGTTATTTATGATTAATGTTATTATTATTGTTGTTTTTTCTGGTTGGTTTTCGTGATGTCGTTGCTGTCCCAGTGCCAGGTTTTTCCAATGCATGTGTGGTGAGAGTTTGCGAGAAAAAAGTACTTGTAACTGTTTTATGGAAATGGAAATGGATTGGGCACACCCTGAGGAGACCCCAGTCAAGCATCATCAGGCAGGCTTTAACGTGGAACCCACAAGGAAAACAAAAGAAGGGAAGGCCAAAGATGACATGGAGACGAACGGTACAAGCTGAAATTGAAAAAGCGGGGACATCATGGAAACAGATAGAAAAGGATGCTCAGGACAGGCTTCGCTGGAGTAATGCTGTTGATGGCCTGTGCTCCACTGGGAGTTAAAAAGGGCGAGAGAGAGAGATCTGTTTTATCCCCACACCCGCCCAATGTATATTCAGGCCCGTACTTCTGCTCTTATATGACCTCAGTGCCATAAAACTTTTATATTAACTCTTTATCTCCAAGGGGGATAAACCCACTATTTTGGTACTAAATCTAAAAATGACAAAAATGTCACTAAAGTGATCATTAAATCAAAACAAATGAACCTGTTTTGATCATTCTTCATCTAACAAATGTAGCCCCAATAAAAGAGACCTGTTTTTGTCAATTGCTTCAAAGTAATTATTTGATGTTGGAAGTCGGCTTAGAAGAATGTGTCCGAGCCACTGTCAGCGGCTCAAGGCACAGTGATTCCGACCACGAACTGCAGGGAGCGGCATGCCGGAGATAAACAGTTAAGTCTTTTTAAAAATTATTTTTGTTATTATTATTATTATTATTATTATTATTATTATTTGTATGTGTTATTATCAAATTCTCTGTAACGTAGTATCCTCTGATAATTCTACTGATGTTTCACCAGGGTCACATTGAGACAATCTTTGACTGCAAGTTCAAACCAGACAACCCAGATCTTCTGGCCACGGCAAGTTTTGACGGGAGCATCAAAGTCTGGGACATTACCAGCATGACCTGTGTGAGTCGTTGGGGGAACAATTTCTTTTTTTATGCTTTGAAAGGGAATGTAGCGGGAGTCCTACTCTTTTTTCTTCCTATTACTGTTTCCTTTTGTGTCTCTGTCTTGCTTTTTCTCTGATTATAGTGACCGTTATTGTATTAATGTGCTTCTCTTTATTCAATTCTAATCGAAAAGGAAGAGGCTGATCATTAGATAACGCAAGAAGGGCGATCTTTGTTTTGTTTTAGTAGAAGTTTTACGGGGCTCGCAACTGCACAAGGTCATACGAGCTTTTGAAGAGTGGATTGGCACTAAACAAAAATTCAGTATGTACACATGAAAAACAAGGACAAAATGTTCTGTAAATAGTTCTGTAATTTCCTTTCCTCTTCATCCTTTGAAATAATGACTACTGTTTGTGGGTTTTTTCACACAAAAATCTATCAAGTTTGTCACACATAGTCCATTGTCCTCGGCTGATAGATGGAACTTAATGATAATAATAATAATAACTGCAACTATATAGCACATGTCTATTCTCTACAGCATGCTCTATGCACTTTACAACCGTTATTACCTCAGCAGACCCCACAACACTGAGAAACATTCTTGGTTTCCTGGGAAGCATACAGTGGAAGTAACCAATAAAGTGCTCAAACACGATCAGACAAGATCTTTTGCTTTCTATAGCCGGATGACCATTCCCACCTGGGTGAAGTGAGGAAAATCATATCTTTTTCCTTGAACTAAATGGTTGGTAGTGTGTAGATGCACTTCATTTTACTGATACAAACAAATAAATGATCAAACTCCCCCCCACTGTCGTTTCTGCCTGTTTGTCGGGCCTTTTCCTTGTTCTAAATGATTGGTATTGTGTAGATGCGCTTCTTTATACTGAACCCAACAAAATAAATGGTCAAACACTCCCCCGCACCCATCCCCACTGTTGTTTCTGCCTGCTTGTCTTGACTTTTCCTTGCACTGAATGATTGGTATTGTGGCACAGCTTTTAACTTAACACTTTGCAGTCACACAGCCAGCAGTACAAAATAAACCATCTGGTCACCCAGCCAGGAGAGCGACTATATCGGACTTCTGGATCCTGGCGCAGTGACCAGAATGGATAATTTTCACCAGCGCATTTTTGCGCCAAGTGACCCCAAAGTGTTAAACAAGCAAAATAAATGATTAAACCCCCCGCCTGTTTGTCTTGACTTTTCCTTGCTCTAAATGATTGGTATTGTGCAGTGGAATTTCTTTTTTACACTGAGCCCAACAAAATAAATGAACAACCCCCCCCCCGTTGTTCCCCCCAGTTACTGTCGTCCCCCGGCAATGAAGGCATCATCTACCAGATCTCATGGGCTCCCTCAGACCTGGACTGTATCGTGGCCTCCACGGCACGCACCGGCGTCTTTGTCTGGGACACCACGAAGGGCAAGGTCATCACCAGGCTCAATAATGTAAGACCCTGACCTTTGACAGTCAGCTCATAGCTTATACAGGACACAGGAATCAACCTTTTACACGGTCAGCTCATAGCTTATACAGGACACAGGAATCAACCTTCTACACGGTCAGCTCATAGCTGTTACTGGACACTAGGATTTGACCTTTGACACAGTCAGCTCATAGCTTATACTGGACACTAGGATTTGACCTTTGACATGATCAGCTCATAACTTATACTAGATACAAGGAATCAGCCTTTTACATGGTTAGCTCATAGCTTATTCTGGGCACTATGATTTGACCTTTTGACACAGTTAGCTCATAGCTTATACTGGACACTAGGATTTGACCTTTGACACAGTTAGCTCATAGCTTATACTGGGCACACAGAGCAAAGTTGTCACTGGGATCAATAATGTAAGACTTATCTTTTCTCTCAGATCTTTTTGATGATTGGTGGGTATAAAACTTCCCAGAGACACCAAATGTGTCAGGACGCAGTGGAAACTGGCGGTTGTCATTTTTTTGGCGTATGGAATTATAGGTTATTGTCATCTTTCTTGCTTTTGATGTAAAAAAAAACAACTGTCTCTTGAATAGAAGTTGAGATGTTTGCGATTGAAGGAGGTGGGGGTTGCTTGGTGTCAGAGGTAAAATTCGACTAGAAAAATTACTGCTGAAGTTTTGAGACTTTTAAAGTTTGAGTGTCCTTAAAAACTTCACAGAACTTCTCCCATTGATGGGGTTCTGGTATGTATGTAACCTTTGCGATATTGGAGGGAATGTTGCATTTTGTCTGTAGTTACAGATCTGTTCTTTCTTACTATACCATGAGTAATTATTGTTGTTGCTGTTATCGATCCAGTAACAGCTAGGCCCTCGCTCTTCTGTCCAAGTGGGTGGTTTTGGTTTGTTCCTTCTTTCCTATCAAACATCTATTGTCCTTATCTCCCCTCCTTCTATTTTGCGTTTGTTACCCTCTTGTAACACCTCTAATTTTCGACACTCATATGACCTTATTGTGTTGCAAGTGGTGTAAAACTCTAACAAAAACAAATAGCTCTTCTGTCCAATGCCATGTAGAGATAAATGCAGGTTTGCTGCTGTTGTTGTAATGTCCCATAGAGTGTGTTGTCAATGTTAGGTCTGGGAGGGAGAAGTGTCCCTGGGATTTGTGAAGCATGCTGACAAAATGAGTTACATCTCGGATCCAATCCTTATGGAAATAGATACATCACGCTATTAGGTGAAGTTTTTACTATTTTTACGTATGGAATGACGAAAGGTACGTTATACAAAAAGAACGTAGCATAAATAGAAAATCTACTAATCGGACCCTATAGTGTCGACTTTTGGCCAATATTTCTGTTTGTGGAATGCGAGAAGTAACTCATTTTGTCAGCACGCCTCACATTTCTTTTAGGGATGTGCAGTGGAGCAGGTGGTGATCCAGAATCTCATATATGCAGTCACACAAAGGGTACAATGGTGGAATTTCTGCTGACCAGGGGAAAAACGATGGTAGTCACAAATTTGGAATTGTGAGGGTGCCAATTTAAAAAGAGCTTGGGCACTTGTAACTTCATATCTGTTTGACTGGTTACTTATTGTTAAGTTTTGTTGAATGGGAAATCTAACAACTATAATCAACCAGAATTTTAACAGAAATACAGTTATGAGTCAACAAGCGTTCAAAACTGGTTCCCTCACGATTTTCAGTTTGTGACTACCGTCATTTTTCCCCTGAAGTCTTCAGTTTGTTTGACCGATTGTTTCAGCACGTGGCGAAGACGAGCGTGTTCTCAGTGTCGTGGAACCAGGCAGACTCCAGGCGCATCATGACCTGTGGGATGGACAGCTACTGGTGGGTCGCTCCGACATTCTGTCTGTTTGTGTGTGTGTGTGTGTGTGTTTGTGTGTGTGTGTATGTGTGCGTGTGTGTGTGTTTGTGTGTGCGTGTGTGTGTGTTTGTGTGCGTGTGTGTGCTTGTGTGTGTGCGCGTGTGTGTGTGTGTTTGTGTGTGAGTAGCTGATAGGTGCTCTGTGTATGGTTTGCTCAGTCTTGCATATCAAACATCTGCAGATGGATGGTTGACAGGTGCTCTGCTGTGGTTCATTGATTTTTGCATATCAATCATCTATTGTCATCTGTCGTCCTTATTGTTCCTCCATTTTTTTTTATTTATTAAATTCTTGTAACACCTCTAATCTTCAGTACTTATATGACCTGATTGTATTGCGAGTGCTGTAAAACTTTTACAAAAATGAAGAATTATTTCTCAAAGTCACCTAATTGTGACTGCATTTTTTCCCCCTTCAAGGGTTCACTTGTGGTTACCTCTTTTTGTCTGTGTGTCCAGCGTGATCCAGCAGGTGGATGGTACAGTGTTGCAGAAGTACAAGCACCCAGCGGCCGTCTACGGAGGTGACTGGAGCCCTTTCAACAAGTGAGAGGCAAATTCATTTGGAAAGTTTGTGAAATTCAATATGAAAGTATGGGAGATTCATTATGAAAGTTTTTTAGATTTATTATGAAAGTTTGTGAAATTAATTTTGATAGTTTGTGATGTGAAATATGTCTAGGAGTTTACAATGGAAGTTTGTAATGGGTAATATATCTCGAAATTTACTGCTACATGTCTAGGCATCATGCACTATGAAAGCCTGTAATGTGTGATATGTCCAGACCCAAGACAGTACAGTAACGGTCTTTCTGTTTCCCTCCCCCCTCAGAGACATGCTGGCCACGGCCTGTGAGGACAAGTGTGTGCGTGTGTTCTACATGGCGTCTCACTCGGATCAGCCCATCAAAGTCTTCTCAGGTTGGACAATACACAGATTCTTTGTAGGCCTATGGGTTTTTTTTCCCGGTTTCTTTAAAATATTTTCTGACTATGTGGCGTCGGTGGCCTAGTGGTTAGGCTTTCGGACTCACAAATGTAAGGTTGTGGGTTCAAATCCCATCAGGGGTCAGACGTTGTGTCCTTGGGAAAGGCACTTTACATGAATTTTCCTCACTTCATCCAGGTGGGAATGGGTACCCAGCCATAGGCAGTGATAGATTTTGTCCGTTTGTTAGTGTTTGAGCGCTTAATCAGCTGCTTGCACTGTATGCTTCCTGGGAAGCTGAGAATGTTTCTGAGTGTGCTGTGGTCTGCTTAATATTGTGTAAAGCGCATAGAGTTTGCTGTTCAGTGGGGGTATGGGCTGTACAAATGCTATTTATTATTATTAATATACTGGTGATAGTAATAAGTAATGCTCAAAGTCTTCTCAGGTTTGATAATACACAGATTCATGGTTGGCCTATGGAGTTTTTTTTTCAGGTTTCTTAAAGGTATTTTCTGAAGATACAGGTGATAGTAATAGGTAGTGCTCAAAGTATTAACAGGTTGGACAATACAGAGATTCATTGTGTGCCTATGGGTTTTTATTTTCAGGTTTCTTTAACATCTATTATCTATTTGTGGTGGCCGAATTTTGCTATTCAAAAGGCTTTTTAAAGGCTGCATTGATCGACATGCGGTTTTCGCCAAAAGATTCTTTAAAATATTCTCCAGATCATGACTCTCTTCGTTTTTTTCAGTTTTTAGACAGTTTTGCCACAAAAAGCTTAATTTCTTTATTTCGCCGATCGCTTTTGTAGGCCAACACTTCTGTCTCTGCAATTTTAGAAAATCCGGTGCGAAAGTGATATTTTGCGAGGCACATTGTTTTGAGAGTATAGATCTAGACCTAGACCCTCTAATTTTTTGCACCTCTCAAGATGTATTGCTCCATTCCAGTAGAGTGTAAATATAGTAGGCCAATGACTTTCAGTTGATGTTAATGCACCGATCATTCCTTTCATCGAAAGGGGGCCCAGCTAGTATTTTCTAAATATATATATTGATAGTAATAAGTAGTGCTCCAAGTATTCTCCCGTTGGACAACAAGGATTGTAAGGCTATGGAGTTTTGTGTTCAGGTTTCTTAACACTGCCCTCACTTTTGTTTCCTTCTCTCTCTCTCTCTCTCTCTCTCTCTCTCTCTCTCTCTCTCTCTCTCTCTCTCTCTCTCTCTCTCTCTCTCTCTCTCTCTCTCTCTCTCTCTCTCTCTCTCTCTCTCTCTCTCTCTCCCTCTCTCTCTCTCTCTCTCTCTCTGTCTCTCTCTCTCTCTCTCTCTCTCTCTCTCTCTAGCCAATCGGCAAGAACACTGAACCTCCGCTTCCGTCACAAAACGCAGATCGGCGATGTTGACCACTCAGTTCCTGTGGATTTCCCCCCCAAAATGCATGTGATGGCAAGGGTTTTTACTATAATATGAGCCTTGTGATGCCAAAGTGTTCAAGGTGTTTTCTGAATATACTAGTGATAGTAATAAGTAATGCTCTACCATGGCATTTGATAGAGGCTTTCCCCCCCCTCACGGTTCAATAAAGGACAGTGAGATAGGACTAGCACTAAATGTGAGGCAGCGTGGTGGAATCAGGCTCTCGTCAAATAATCAAAGTGAAGAAACATGCATTTTCCCCAGGCTTGTGAATTTTTATCAAATTTTTGTGTTTTGGCTCAACACTTTTCATACAATTTAAAGAACTCATTTATGGGTGGATTGTTTTGAAAAACGTTGATTAAAAGCGCAAAAAAATACAAATTTTCATTTACCGCGGACTCTTAAGGTAAGGAAATAAGTAATCTTTGGCGGCCATTTTCTCACTAATTTTACCTCTGAAAACAGGTGACCCCCACCTCCTTCTTTCGTAAATATCTCGACTTGTATTCAAGATCGATGGATAATTTTTTCCTACAAATAAAGACAAGTGAACAGGCTTTAAGATGATACCAATAACTCTACATGCCTAAAAATTGACGAGAGCCTGATTCCACCACGCTTCCTCATAAATTATCATAATAATAATAATAATAATAATAATGATAATGATAATTATAGATTGCATTTATAAAGCGCTCTATCCATTCGAGTATAAGCTGTGAGCGTTTATATAATAATATAGATCTTTTTGCATCTGATAGGCCCTTTGGCTATTGTATAGCTGTAGCTCCACTTTCAACACTGTAAAGTTATTTAAGAGACGGGGTCTCTGAATTTATCGTCCATCTCCAATACGACAGAGCCAAGTGGATGGACAACCTTAAAAACTCCCCAAAAACAATCCAACTTCAGAATGCCTTGTTTCAGATTTAAACTTTGGCTTTCCACTTCGCTGCTCAGTATGAAACCGACTGAACTAATGGAGCTTCATTTGAATATAATATGTTTAGCATATTATAACTGTTTACACTATTACATAGATTATAATATTTTATTGATCTAATAATCATCACAGCTCTTTCTATACTAATGTTCTACAGAGAGTGTTCTGAAGTGACCATTGTTGTATCAATGCGGGTTTTTATTTTTACCTTTAACCAGAACTCAAGACCCACCCCCACCTCGGAATTGCAAAGTTCTATCCGCTCAGTACCTAGTTTTGAGAAATTTGATGTTAAAAATGTTGATTATCACAACAAATAAGCTTTTTCGAACGCAAATTCTTTGAATATCTTGATACCAACTTGGAAAATCCTTACGATTTTGATAGAGCAGATTGAAAATTTGGTTTCTGACCTCATAGTCTTATTAACTCAAAACGACCAAAATTGGCACAAAGAACTTTTTAACTCTAGGGTAGCGACTTTTCAGGATCCTATGAAGCCCTTGTGACCAATAAACAATGTTTTGAATGCTTCTGTCCCGTCCCCCACCCCCCCCAAGATGTATTGCTCCATTCCAGTAGAGTGTAAATATAGTAGGC